TGCACACCTGCAGGTCAGCCCCCCACAGGCTCGGCACCCCCCACCCCCAGCCAACAGAGCAGGAGCCATGGCTGACCGCATGCTGACACCTAGACTTGGACTTCCCACTCTCCACCTACGGCCACTCCTCACTGCCGCTGGCCCACAGAGGGGCTGATGGAGAGTCTCATAGGTGACAGAGGAGGGACACTCCATCTGTCCATGATCTGTTGTTGACACAGGGGGCAGAGAGGCCCTCTCTGGAAAACTAACCACTAGTGGCCCCAAGTCTGACAACTCAGACTTCTTTTAGGACAGAGACCCTGTGTGCAGTGGGTAGCAAGTGAAATAGTAGTGAAAATCTCTCATTGTATCACCTTTATTATATATCCCTCTCCTCCCAAACAGCTCTGTCTGACTTGCTAGACCATGAACTCGCTGAGGAACACCATGAACTTTGTATTTGGCCTGGCACACAGGGAGGCTCACTGGATTGGGCAAGGGTCAGAAGACCACAGTTGAGAGGCCACTACGAGGTCTGGAGGAATTCAACTGCACATCAACACTGGGTGTGGGGTGCCAGGGGCCATGCTTCCCTCAGAACTTTTATCTGAGCAGCTGGGGAACCTGTCACAGGTCCTCAGGTGTCAAGCATTCCTGATGGATTAGTTCCTGGCTTAGAAAGTGTAAGCTGAAGCTACAGCTGTGGCTGAGAGACACAGAACCCACCTGGCCATGCTGGGATCCATTCCCAGCAAAGAAAGGGGGAAGGGAGGGAGATAAGAAAGGGGATTTTAACGATTATTTGTTTTCTGAATTCTGTTTGAGTCTACTAGCCACGGAAATGAGTTGGCTTCATCAGAAGAGAAAGTGGCATTTTAGCATGCTCCCTTGGGCAGGATTCTCTTCTTGAAAAAGTCCCTCCTCCCATGCCTCTAGGAGACAAGCCCTTAAAGAGAAACACCTGAGGCTTACAAGCCTGTCTTGCTTTCTTTTTATATACTTTTCTGCATTTGCGACAACAAATTTCCTAAACATTACTTTCTATCTAAATGAGGAAAGAAGCCAAGGATGGTGCTGTGGCAGCTGCTGGGCTTCTGTGGAAAAGTGAGGTGGCCCTTGGGCTTGCCATCTGAATGGGCAGCCTTGACGAAAGACTCAAAGTAGGAATTTCACAAAAAGCAAAAGAACAGAAAGATAACTAACACATGACTGCTGGCCGCCAAATAGGCCTTGCTCAGAGAAGCTAATCGTACAAAACAAGTAGCGTTTTACCACCATCTCCAGCCAGGTTCTGGATTAAGGCTGAGAAGGAGTCACAGAGGCACCGCTGATGAACCTGCAATGAGGCCCGCCAGACCTCAAATCGGATGTCAGTGACAATCTGTTCAATACTGTTTAATTAAATGGAAAAAACCCCACAAAACTAAATGCAACTTGATGTGGGAGATCAAAGTTGAAGCTGCTGTGGGGCTGGGGACTTTGTGGGGTTTTCACGCCATCAGGAAGTAATTACACAATATTTTCCAGAAGTAAAACAGGGAGTCTAACTGGAAAAAAATGTGGAAACATTTAGTTACAACAGTAGAGCAAGGTATTAAAGACCCTTTTAACGGGTTAACTCTGAGGGAATATGCAAATAATGAGGTCCTTAGACATGTTTTTAATTACAAATCTAGGGGAAAAGTCAGGCAGAAGTCGGCACCCGAGCCTCTCTTGAGCACCCCCCTTCCTGCAGACAGATGTCTGGACCACTCGCATTGCCCTGGGGACAGGCTGCTGAGTGAGGACACTCCGAGTCACGTCTGCCACAGACTCTGCTGACCTCTCCTGTATGCCCAGGAAGACCGAGGTCACATGCCTCCCTCACCACCCACTGGCCGGGTTCCACCCTCAGCTTGGGTGGAGACACAGGGTTTTCATCTTCAAAGTCAAAATTCATTCAGCCAGTAACTGTGCCCAGATCACATGAACTTCAAGCATTTCATGAAATCGATTTCACTGATTTCATCCTGACTCCAGATCTCAGGTCCCTGGCCCTTTCCCAGTGTGTGTACCACATGGACAGCAGTCCCATGGTGACTGGACTACACAATTTTTCCCTTGTGTTTTCTAGTCTTATGTCATTCTATTACAAATAAATCTTGTTGCAATGGACCAGGGCCGGTTTGGATAGACTAGAGGTGGGTTAGCAAAGACTTTAAAATAGAACACACAAGGATCTATAATTTTACTTAACCTACCCTCCTTTTTGAGACAGGGATGCCTATAGCCCAGACTGACCATAAAGGTGGCTGAGCATGGCTTTGAACTTATGATCCCCCTGACTCTCCCTCCTGAGTACAAATGCCGTGACTTTGGTTTATGCAGTGCTGGGGATGGAACTCAAGACTCTGTGTATGCTGGCAAGTACTCTATTGCTTAGCTACATCCCTCAACCCATACCTAACCTTTGGTAGCATCCCTAAATCCCCAGTTGAACTGCAGTTCTCCAAGCTGAGTTTATTGAATGATTTGAACCCCAGGCACTGCTCTGGGTTTGGAGGGTTCTCCAACGTATGGAACACCCTTAGCCATCATTGGCTGTCATTCTAGTAGTCTACACTATGCCCTGCTTGGCTGAGAAATGATTCTCTCGGCCTTTGAGTTGGAGGCCCAAAGTCCCATCAAGAGTGTGGTATATAGGATGGTCTCAGCCCTCTCAGCCTTCAGAAATGGACATCTAAGTTTCTGTTACGGAAGCCGCTCAGCCCACAGCATGTTGTTAGGTAGCAGAGCAGGCTCCAGGGATGAAATACACAGTCTTATCTAGAGATGCTCCCATGACACATGGCAGGCCACATCCAAGAAATCTCCTAAATCCTGGACTTCACTTTCTAAGTCCCCATTCAAAAAGGTATGAGATGTGAGCTGAGCCTCTCTGGTACCGTCTCCACCAATGACACTGAAGGCCATCCCAGGAGCCAATCTCCCCCTGAGCTCTTCCAGCAGCCAGCCACACCACAGTGTTCAGATTCTCCTTTGCTATCCTCGCCTCGCCTCACAAGACCCAAGTTACACTGGCACATTGCTGTGTCCCAAATGCAGTCCTCTCATACCTGGTCAAGTCACAGAGCACTTTACATCCTAAGGATTTCCACAGAATATCATCAAAGCATGCCATGGCTGCCACATCAGCTAAGAATAATCTCAGTGGCTGAAAATGTGACAAGGTCCTGCCTGGGTTACTCAAAGAGTGGCAAAACAATCAAGATAACTGCCTTTCCAGAACATTTGATGAGTAATTGTTTGCTACTTGCTTGTGGTTCATTTTGCTAGCATCCTATAGCAAACACTGGAAAGCAAAGTTTAAGTTAATTGTTTATGGGAAAGGCATCTCTAATACTCCACACGTTGGCCTCTCTTTGAGCTATCTACAGAGAGTCATGCTGCAGAAATGACACAGCAAGGTCCACTCCAGAACAGACTGAGAGCCACTCCCTCCAGTAAAGGCAGTTTATAAGAAGTCCTATTGATACCCATTGGACATTTAGGACAAGCGATCCTTCAGCCTCTTCCAAGGGCCACATCAGCTTGAAACTCCTGGGTCACAGGGAAGTTTCTCAAACTCAAAGACAGACAAAGCAACACAGTGGACTGTTTCTCCAGCCCCTACTCACAACTCATCTTGGATGTTGTCTGTCAGCTTGAAGAGCTGCTCCTGTCCTTCTGCCTGGCTCTCAGAATATCGAGGAAGCAGCCCCTGTGGGCCAGTGCAGCAACGTGGTTTCCGAACCCTCTGGGCTTGGGTCCTAGAAGACAAATGGAAGGGAGAGGTTAAGTGCCAAGGTTAAAAGGATTTTACATCCTCACTTGGAAAAGCACTGTTTATACACAGGAGCAAGCTGCAGCAGGGCTGTGTGGTCTATAGCATGCCCACTATGAATTCAGACTGGGCCTCACAATCCTTTCGCTACAGGATTATTGGCTCAATCAGATGACCTCCTTGGCCTCCATCTCACTTTCTGTGTAATGGGCTGGCACAACCTACCTCCTGGCAGGAAGATCAAATAAAAAAGTACCCATTGGCCTTGTGCTGGAGAACATAGGCTACCCATCACTGCGGCTCTTTAAGGTCATCATAACTAGCCTCCTGGTGGACCACACCGGTTCATCATGTTTTGCTAAGGAATCTCTTTAGGTTGGGCCATCAGGAGGAACACCAAGGGGCCTGGGCTTCAGTGTGAACCTGCTATGCTGCCAGACTCCTGAGGGGTGAGCTCAGTCTCTTGGGTAAAGGGTAAGGAATGCAGTGGCCATGTGAGGGGGCCAGTCCCAGGCCACAGCAGCAGCCCTAACTCATGCAACTTGGCTGTTGGTTGCCCAAAGGAATCTGCTTTGCTATGGCTTTCAGGGCCGGCTGCTGATGTCTTTTTCCACAAGCCATAGACAGGGTAATTGACAAATACTTTTTGGTGTTTTCCTAGAAACAGGAGTCCATATTTGTCTTGGAAAGGCGGTGCATACTTCAGATGACTGATAAGAGTGTACCGGGTCTGTCCTCGACCTTGTACTTGCTGTACTTTTTATTATTTGTTCCTGGAACCCACTGAAGCAAAACATCCCTCTCTAGACATACCTCAAAGAGAGGAACAGGCGGCCACACTGAGTCAGCACTTTAGAACCACGTACTGGTGGTAGTAGAGATGGACTGGCTGGGGAGCAGTGTCCTGTGGGGTGAGTCGGGGTGGGACCCTGGGAGAAAATGGCGGTCTGGAACTGGCCACAGGCTATCTGCAGAGCTAAGATCTTTGCAAGTGTTTCTGAACCCAGGTCAGGCTGAGTTCACCAGGCTCTGGTTCCAGGAGGTGCCATGACAGTGTGTGTGTGTGTGTGTGTGTGTGTGTGTGTGTGTGTTTGGGGGGGGTGACAGCTATTAGGAAGCCAGGTCTCCCACCCCAGACAAGTCTCAAATATTCCTCACATATTTAGTTCTGGGGGCACCTCACAGCCTTTTAGTTGTGTTTTTCAGGGATGACATGGAGACTCGGAGGAAGATGCAGTGGCTTTCTCTGAAGGACTGGGTAACGGGTAAGCCTCATTTACAGCACATATTTACAGATTCCTGCTGTACTTATTCTCGAGCCTCCTTCAAGGTTTAGAGCTACCAATGGCTCTCATTCCAGAGTCTTCCCTGAAAGCAGGGGTGGTGGTGGAGGCAGACACAGTGAGCCCGCTGAGAGAGGGACTTCATCTGTGGATGCCAGCAGATAACCATATGCAAGGGGTCCCCAGCAAGGAGCTGGCAGACTTCTCCAGGCACCGGTTCTAGTCTCCTGGCTTGGCAAAACAACTGCTGTCATTCCATGTCTTCCCCAAAGCATTCCCATGGCTCTTTTGCCTGAGGCTCGTGAAAGGGCCACTGGCTGCCAAGCAGAAAACCAAAGATCCTTCCAAGACTATTCTCACCTCTCTACAGCTCCTAACAAATGGCCTTTGGATGAATCTGCTTTGAGACTGGGTCTCACTATGTTGTAGCCCATGCTGGACCTGAACTTACTACACAGCTCTGGCTGGCCTTGAACTGACTGCCCTGCCTTAGCCTCCCAAATGCCAATTCCTCCCTGCTATCTCAGTGAAAATGGCCCTTCTGGAAACATAACTTAGAGCAACGCACATCACTGCACTGGGATATGTGTGTATTTATTGTCTCCATGTGACCAGCACACACCACAGGAAAAGGCATTTTGTCTCAGCAGCACCTGGCTGCCTGCAGTGACACAAGAGAAGCTCAAGTGTTCTGTGGGTGGGGAGCAGCTTGAGGATTTCACTGAGCTACAAAGCAAAGACAAGGTTGAGATTCAAAAGCCAATGCTCATCAGGCGCAGGGTGAATAGCAGAATCACATCTTCATAAGAGAAAGGTCCAGGGGGCCTCTGTCTAGCTCACTAGGGACAGCAAAGTTTGGGTGTGAAACTGGAACTTTTGTAGACACGTGTTCTGCTCTTTACAAGACCAGCTTTTCCCTAGCATTTAACACTGGGGTGAGGGGAACCAACGGCAGAGGCCTAAGGAAGGATGGCAAGGCAAAGAGAGGTGGCAGGCTCTGCTCCTGAGCCCTGAAGTCACATTTCACATCAGCTGGGGGCCAACTCAGAATGGAAGAAAACATGCACCGTGCTACCAAAAAGTTCAAGTGCACACAGTAATTCCTTGACTCAGCGGCCTCCACTAGAGCCTTCCTCAAACTTTATCTCTATTCCCGATGTATTATCTTGTAGCCTGCAAACTACAAACCCACAGAAACATCCAGAATGAGCAGGGAGAGCAGCTCCCTGTGGATCGGCCCTTACCATGTGCTATGTTCATCTCCTCTATCTTCCCCGCGGACAGCAAACTACCCCCAATTTTTATGGTCCCCTCTTGGTGGTCTACCAAACACCAATGGCCACGCTGGACTCACTGCTTAGTGCTAGTGCTGGAGAAGCACACTGTGGTGGCTGAGGCTCATTTTCTGTCACATGGTATACAAGAAAAAAAAAATCACAGCCCCCCCCATTATAGCCTCAAAGAGAGGACACAGCTCTATAAATGAGGGCTTCCCTCACAGAGAGCTAATTTGTGAGGCAGAGAGGCAGAATAAAGACATTCTGCCTCATTCTTCTACAATGTTCTGTCAGTGACTAAATAAAGCTAGTTTTTCATCTCTAAAACACAGCTAAAATTTCAAGTTCTCATGTTCAAGTTGTTTGGCTGTGAGCAGGTGTTGGTGGATAGTGTTTAAAATCATCGTGAGAACAAATCTGGACCCAAACTTACTTAAGAGTTAAAAAAAAAAAAAGACAAAAACAAAAAAACAACCATAAGAAAATGTTTCCAAACCCAGTAGCTGGCAGAAAGGTTATGAAGGACCTTCACCAGGGAAATGGAACCACCAGTTCTACTGTGTGGTAGAACTGTTCTTATAGTCAGTATGCATGGTGACACACACATGTAATCACAGTGTTTGGGAAGCAGATATGAAGACGGCTGCAAGATTGAAGCCAACCAGGCCTACTTAGCCAAAAAACAAAACAAAAATCCAAAATACTAAAACCAAAACCACCCAAACATGAACAACAAAAAATATTGTACAAAACATTTATCAGTAGAGTCAGATTTATCATTGCACAAGGATCTAAAAATACAGACATATAATCATACATAAATAAATATATATATATATGTATGTATGTATGTATGTATGTATGTATATACACACACACACACACCCACACACACACACACACACACACACACACGCACACACACGCACACACACACACACACCATGAACTCAAATCACCCTTACAAACAAGTGCATCCATGTACAACAGCAATCCTATGTTTGCTCTTGTGCTGTGACTCGGTTTTATAAGACTGACTGTTAAGCCACTATCCGGTGTCCCAGTGGGCCGAGCACCAGAAAGAGGACAACAGGGTGACTTCCTCCTGCTCTGTTCAGGGCCTGCCACCATCACCGACCTTTCTCTTTAGTTGAACAAATACAACACACAGCCCACTGCTGGCCCCGGTCTGGGTGTCTTCTGCATGCAGACGCCAGCCATTCCTTCTCTCCCTGGCACAGCCACAGGTCTGAGTCTCATGTCTCACGTCCATGCTTCTCTCTCAGGCAGTCCTGTCACACCTCTGAGCATGTTCTGGCACAGCGCAGTCTGGAGTTCCTATCATGTTGGACCTATTGAGAGGACTCAGGCCTTTCCGTGGGCAGATGGAATTTGCTTCTGCCTGTTTACTAATACTCCATGGTGTGAACGTCTATGACATATCTGAGACCGGCTAAGGTTTTGCTATTATAGGTGATGTGGCTGTGAACATGCTTGTGCATGTCTCCTGATGACCTTTGGATCTGGGTACACACAAATACACACATGTACACACACTTTCTGCCAGATTTCAGGATATAAAAATTTGGCTAAGCGGAGAATTTGAGCTATTTTTAAAGGGACAAAACCATTTTACATTCCTGCCACGATGCGGTTATGAGACACTTGATAGCTACACCTCTTCCAATGCTTGGTACTGTGTAGACAGCACTATCTAATATGCTGTCACTGGTCACATGGTTGCTGAGCACTCAAGGTGTGGCCAGAGTAACAAAAGACCTAAATTTTAAATTGACTTTCACACGAGAATCTGTCTCAAAACAAACAAACAAAGAAACAGACAAAGGGAAGTCAGGAGTATGGTATAATCCCAGCACTCAGGAAGCAAAGGCAGGAGGATCAGAAGTTCAAGGCAAGCCTCAGTTAAAAACAAATTAAAAACAAATTGAGTTCCTGTCTCAAAGGATCAAAACAAAGCAAAATTAAATTGATTTATACTTACATTGTATCTTGGAGAATACTGACATAGACTCTATTTAAATTTTATTCATTTATTTATCTGATTATTTATTTGATTATCTATTGTGGGGGTGGTGGGCATACCATAGAGAATGTGAGGAGGTCAGAGGGCAATTATTGGGAGTCTCACTGTGGGTTCTAGAAATCAAGCTCAGGTCATCAGGCTTGGGCAGCAAACGTCTTTCATCTTGTTGAGTCATCCTGTCAGCCTGGTCTAGAATTTTGGGCCTGCTGTTTGAGTGGGTATAAAATGGCCTCAGTACTCTCTCACTCATTTCCTCCTGTCAAATGAAAGAATGGCGTCCTGCGATGGCTGGCTAGTCTCGCTTGCTAACTTGACTGCATCTGGGAATCAATGAAAACCCAAGCTGCTGGGCACTCCTGGGAGGGATTTTGTTCACCTGATT